ACAGATTAAATAATTTAGCGGGTCAAAATCACGTGGAGATCAACGTCAGTTCAGGCATAGTCCGCAAATGGTCTCCAATCAAGTCGAAAACGCTTTGATTGTCTTACATCAGTGGGCAAATTGTTCCACAGAACAGTCCCGCTGTGGCAGAAGCTATTTCTATAGTTATTGGTTCGTGGCAAGGGAACAGCAGGCTTATTTTCAAAATCTCTTAAGTTGTGGGAATTAAATAAATCGCTGTGTAGTATGAATTTTGAAGACATGTAATCAAGTGGAAGGTAATTCATAGATTTATACACCATCACAGCCTTATGAATTTGCCGCTGAGTTTCAAGATTTTGCCACCCCAAGTCATTTAAAAGTATACTCGCATATGCATCATAATTGGAGTTTGTGAGAACGCGTGCTGCGCGGTTCTGGAGCCGCTGCAATTTAACACTACCACAGCTACCCCATACCACGCTGCAATAGTTCAAGTGTGACTGGACAAGGCCATAATATACATCATGCAAGGCGGTAGGGAGTAAACAATAATTGATGCGTTTTATAGCTCCAAGAGACTTAGAGCATTGATAATGTTTGATAGGAACGTTATTTATATTAAGATAGTTTATTAAGCTTTTGCCTTGAGCCGACTAACATGAACTCAGTTTTAATCATATATCTTTATGTTGAGCAAGTCTTCGTTCAGGGAAGGCTGAATGGCGTAAATATCACCATTCGAATATGTCAGATGTCACTTGAAAAGTCTAATTTTCTAATGCTATTTTAAAAAAACCTTGAAAGATCGAATAGTGCTGTATGAGTTGCGTATTGAATTCCAGAGTACCGACCCCACGACTTTAGGCCGTAAGTTAAAGTGTTGGCCTTTGGCCATTTTAAAATATCAGTTACTCAATATCCGATCAGTACTCAAATGCTCTTTGGACCTTGTTCATTATCAATAAAATTGAAAACCTTTGAGACTACTTTTTCGAGGTGTTGATTCACAAGTCATGGTAAGCCTATCCTGTTGACTGAGTATTTTACGGTGTATTTTACAGCACAATTAAGACAAAACGAAGGGCACACTCGATCGTTAACTTTTTTTTAACTTTGCAGTGGCATTTTATTGCAAAAATGTCTCTGAGCATTAGTTAAAGTTAGGAATGAAAAATGCGAGGTAATGACACTTTTTGTTTCAAAAAGAAAAAGAAAACAAAACAAAACCCCAGAGCTTCGCGCTTCTCGCTAACTCGCGCAATTTGCATCGCTATCATAAGGAAATGAAAGTTAAGAGTGATATGAAACCCAGGGTGGTACCCAAGATTTCAAGTTACAGGGATGATCGAAGGGGGCAAAAATCAAAACCCCAAAAAATCCCTAGGGGCTTCAAACAAAACCCAAAAAACTCCCTGGAGCAAAACTTAACCCCCAAAATATCCTATGCCTAATTTCCGTGCCATAAAAATTTATTCGCAGAACTACGCGGCCGGGATATCTGGGAACTATCACGAATCTTCAGATTGCCTTGAATACCCGAAAAAAATATCCCTACTTAAATCAAGCTACCCGAAAAAATACCTGGCAAAATTTTCCGACCCAGGAAAATCCCGAAATCGAAAATTTCAAACCTAAAAAACTCCTTCCATCATCCCTGCAACTTGAAATCCGGAGTACCCCTCCCCCCCCACCTCCCCCCCATGATTTGAAGGTGTGAATAACATTATTATTGATCCACAATAGAATCTGAATGTTAAACGTGACGTTTTCAAAATGCTAAAACTAAAATAATGAAGTGTTAAAAAATAATTTTCAAAATTTAGTGTTGTATAAAGTGCAAAGGAGATATTTCTATTACTTTAGATAAGAAAAATATTTTTCAGGTAAGCGTGACAATTGTGATACCTCTAAATTTCGCGAAAAGGCTCATGACACTGTCTGAATAAAAGTGGGGTGCGATTTTCCTGAAACAACGGCTTAAATTTAATAAACACCTTTAACATCAAGGTTCTAGTATTTTCCACCTTTTTCTAATAACGTATATGTAGGATATTTTCAACTTCAAGTTTGGACAGGTTTTTCACTACACACATACAAAAGAGTATTCTGTTACATCCCAGCTTCAACCGAACCGCTGACACTGCAGCTCGTCTCCCGCTTGGCTGGTAATGTTTTGCTTTAGACAGAGCCCCGCTTTTATGAGTGTGTCTGTAAACCGGTAAAAACCTAGTCACCATAACGTGACTCTTAATCTTTCCAATCTCCGTAAGAGGGGAACTTCCGTGGTTTCCCTAACAGTTCGATCGAGAAGGGCAATAAGCAATCTCTTTCGGCTTGAGATATTTTTAGTAGACTTAAGAAAAGCTTTTACGTAATGGGGTTTCCCAGTTTCACATGCAAAAAGAAAGATTTCGTCCTGTGACGTTTACCAACCAATAACAAATTGATCCATAAATTAAACATTTGGCCAAAAATCTTGCTAAATATTCTTACTTTTGGTTTTGGTTAAGAAAAAAATGTGAGGAAAAAAATGACTTTATTAGGACAACAACGTTCACGGTATCAGTCTACATGTGAAAAAGTACCGGATTCTATCCTGGGACGGGTGAACAACAGTTTATCCTCTCGCCCTGCGCAGAATTTTGAAATGAGATAAAACGGCAGCGGGCGGCTGTAACAGAATTATAAATAAAACCGGGAAGTAAGTGATGGCTGCTGAGCGCTTGCCAATTATTTTTAGCAAATTTTTTGTGGTTCAATGAGTAGGGAGGAAAAAATTGTCACGCTGACCTGAAAAATATTATAATCTAAAGTAATAGAAACATCTCCTTTACACTTTATGCAACACTAAATTTTGAAAATTGTACCTATTTTTACACTTCATTTAGTTTTAGCATTTTGAAAACGTCACGTTTAACATTCATATTCTATTGTGGATCATAATGTTATACAATACTTTCAAATACACTCTTGAATTTCATTTCCTTACGGATAGCGATGCAAATTGCGCGAGTTAGCTAGCCAGAAGCGCGAAGTTCTCGGATTTTTCATTTCTTTTCTTTTTCTCTTTTCTTTTTGAAACAAGAAGTGTCTTTACCTCGCATTTATCATTCCTAACTTTAACTACTGCTCAGAGACATTTTTGCAATAAAAATGCCACTGCAAAGTTGAAAAAAGTTAACTAGCCGGTGCCCTTCGTCTTTAATGTACTGTAAAATACTCTGTAAAATACCCAGCCAACAGGATAGGCTAACCATCACTTGTGAATTAACACCTCGAAAAATAAAGTCTACAGTTTTCAATTTTATTGATAATGAACAAGGTCCAAAGAGCATTTGAGTACTGATCGGATATTGAGTAACTGATATTTTAAAGCGGCCAAAGGCCGCTAACACTTTCCGTTAACTTACGGCCTAAAATCGTGGGGTTGACGGCGCCAAAACTCTGGAATTCAATACCCAACTCATACAGCACTATTCGATATTTCAAGGTTTTTTGAAAATAGCATTAGAAAATTAGACTTTTCAAGTTTACAATCGTAAATCTCAATGATGTTAATTCTAGTTATTTTATATTTTCATTTTGCGCGTAATACTTGAAAGCTAGCTGGTGTGTGAGGTGTCCCACAAAAGCTGAGTGTTTTTGACTTGATTGGAGACTATTTGCGGACTATGCCTGAACTGACGTTGATCTCCACGTGATTTTGAGCTGCTAATCTGTCTTCAACAGTTTTAGCATATGCGCAACAGTGTGATCGCTAAAGGAAGTGCTGATTCTAGGTCTTAAGGTCATGTTTAGTGATTTTAAAACCGATATATCAACACAGGTATCCCGTCACTAGAAAAATATATTGCAAACAATGTATAGATAGGCAACTTAAAAGGTAAAACTTTTACCAGGATCTGTGGACGTCTCACATCCTTTTGCATACAACATGCGCGCATTTCACCCAAAACACGAGCTTGCACTAGAAAATTACGAAATATTTTGCACAAGCTATCCTTAAATAACCCTAATCCGTGTTTGATTTGGGGCCGATTAATTTAATCTGTTGCTGCATATGCGCAGCACGGTGATTGCTGAAGGTAGTGCAGATCAAAAACAAATGTTCAGTTGTCCCGTTTGTTTTCAGAATCTATGCAGAGTGGGGTAGAATTAGTAGGGACTTGAAATAGGTCATGAATGTTACATTAGAGAAGCTGAAACAGTGAAAATCACTCCAAATTCGGGTGCGATCAGAACCATAATACATCCGTAACATCAAAACAATCGACAGCCTTTGGTATAAAAATGGTTCGCTTAAAGATTTGTTTCCATTCTTTGCAATTTCAGTGGAGAAAGATTCTCTGTGGATTATAGCTGGCTTAAGGGCATGTTTGGTGAAATTAAAACAAGTAGGGCGTGCTGCTCTTTCGTAAATAGACACATCGAAAAGTGCCCTGTAGCCTTTCTTAGGCTCTGTGCAAGTCTTTTTAATTCAAAACGCCAGCCAATTTGTTCTGTCGCAAATATTAATTTTTGTCAGGGCGAAAAGGTTTTCCTCAGCTCCAGATGCCCATGTAGACTAGGGTAGGGTGAGTCCGGAAATTGGCATGGACCTTATCCATCAGAAGTTATAGTTGTTGAGTGTGCGCAGTGAAGGAAGTACTACTACGAGGTCATAAGTGTTACACTAATAGAGCAGAAATAATAGGAAAATCGGGCCAATTCAGGTGTAAAATATCATAATCTGTAATACCAAATTGAGAGTGAGAAAACATTCGACAGCCTTCAGATGGTATAAAAAAGGTTCCCTCGTAAAGTTGCATTCATTCTCAGTGAAGAAAAGTACAAGTCCTCTCCCACAAGAAGAACAAAGAACCGTCGCTTTTCTGTTACGAGAGAAATGGTAAGTTTTATTTGACAATATCTTTATTTGCTGTTAGCACCAAGAACAACGAATTAAGCCACTTCCAAATAATACAGTCACCGATAATCCCGAGGGCGCTGTTGGCTTGCTTTTAGGCAGAAGCGATTAATCTCTAAAATTTGAATGTTTCCTTCATCAGGAGTTCAAGGTGTTCCTTCTGTGTTTTGCGGTTCTTGTTGTTGCCACATCTGCAGCATCTGTATGTAAATGTGAAGACAAAAAGGTACAATTTAAAGTTGTGTCCTTTGATTGGAGTACTTAAAGATAACTGTTATACATTTACCGGCTTTCAGTTTACGCCAGTTATTCCTCGTGTAGTCCGCATTTTGTGGAACTCTCCGTAAAAATGTCGAGACATTAGGTACAAAAAAGGAGGGAAAAGTTATTAGTCAATGTGAAAAATTATACAAATTCAAGAAACTTTCAATTGGTTTTGTACAATCAAAGGCCAACTGATGTCTCTCTTATGTTGCAGCAAAGTGTGTCCAAATACAAGGTAAAAATAAAGGATGGAGATAAAGAATTTGAAGAAGAAATTGAAATCGACACTAAGGAACAAACAGAAACCTATCGCATTCCAAAGACAGATTCTGGGAACGCGGGAGAAGTCGATGTTGTTTACGACTTTAAGAAGGTAAAATACTTTGTTCAAAGCAAAGTGGGTGTGAAATTTTAGTGATTTTGATCGAAAGTTTTCTCAACTCGATTAATTATTCGCATAATTGTTTGCGTACTCTCTCGCTCAGCCAACTATCTGTCTATATCGGTATTGTAATCTGACTTTACACCTGTTCGTTTTATTCATTGTTTCCCTTAAACTTTATTGTGAATCATGATATCACAACAACATTGCTTATGTTTTCCTTTCGTTGTAGAATTTGACCATGCAACGACTGTCGGCTGCAAAAGCCTGTTTTCTGAGTAAATTCACTGAAAATATGCCCAAGCCTAGTGACCTCGTCAAGTTACTTGACCAGGTAATTCAAGTGAGATTCTTTTTCATTGGGATATTTACGTTCCTACCGTGTTTTAATAGGAAATAGAATTGAAGTTTAAGGTGGTAAATTTGACTGTCGTTATGAAAATGCATTATGATTTTTTCAACTAGTATTGAAAATATTTCGACAAGCTTGTGTTAATCCCCACTTAATGAGCTTAGCAACCCTGGAAAATAGGAAAAACCTATTACTGGGGTCAGAGACTTCTTTTTTTCGTAAACTTGTTTGATGGCCAGGAAGTCCTAACCCCTTATCAGGGAGCTTAAGCAACGACGACGGCGACGTCAAAGAGAACGGCAATAACGCAATACGTTTAGATTGGCAAAACAACAACTTTGCACGTGCATCATGCTTTTTTGTACATTTCTTTGCCGTCGTTGCATGACTACAACGTGAAAGTGCCTAATTTCACGTTTTGTCGAGGACGGGAACACGAGACAACAACTTTCCTTTTCTTTTCCTAAACTTTGATACAGTCCTTTACAATTCAACTCCAAAAAAATCTGCCAAAATCTGACGAATTAAACGAGATGGAATAAGCGCGATAAAGTTTGAGGCAGCGCAAATTCACTTTTTAAGTGACGTTTTCGTAGCCGTCGCCGTCGTCGTTGCTTAAGCTCCCTATCAACTTTACTAGGGTAGACTTCTTTTTTTTTTCATAAACTTCTTGGATGGCCGGGAATTGAAGTCCTACCCCCTTACCAACTTTCCCCCTTATTAAGTTTCTGAGTTTTTGAGTTGCAGGTATTTTTCTCAAAAATAAGGGCTTTTTAATACAGGCGATTAAACATTCGAAAGTAGGCCAGGGTAGGTTAATGTTTACAGTGGAGCTTTTTAGTATACACTGATCTTCTTCTTTGCGTGAAGGTTACTAAAGGCATCAGTTAGGTTTATGTTATTCTTGTTACTCTTTACAGAAGAGCGCCACAACGACAATCGCCAAAAATGAGACGAACAGTGAATACGAAGTCGTTTCGACTGTCACTGACCGCTCGGACCTGAGTGATGAAATGGCTTCTCTGTGTGCCAAGCTGCCCATTTATCGCGTCAAAAAGACAACGCCGTTGACCCTAAGTGTTAAACGTAAGTGTTCCACTTTATTAGCTAGTGTAATGTTTGGAACATCAAAGTGTCATTCAATTAGTCATTGCTAAAAAAAAACCAATTATATTTCGTTTTCAGTGGAGGTCAAGTTGGAAACTAATGTCTTGGAAATACAAGTGGTAACTCGAGAAGAAATATTGGCAAAAAAAACATCTCCACACAACTGACAATTTTGCTTCCTTTTCTAGCTCTTATTTCAGTCAGCAAAGAGAGGGAGGGTGACCGCTATTTTTGTTTTATTCATGGGGTGGATTGGGCATGCGTTAATGCACGAGTTGTTAGTTAACAATTCTTGGTTGAGGAAGGTCTTATTCGGGCTATGTGGATAACAACCGCCGAGATCTGCATAATTCTTCATATCATACGAAATCCGAAATCAATAACTGTTTTAATATTAATTCAGATATTTCTAAGTTCTTAACAACTTTACGTCCTCGTAGTCTTTCTTCAAAATATTTGCCTCTTCCTCAGCACAGTTTTAGAATCTGACCTGATGTTTTTCCTTGCAGATACTTCTCAAAAAGTAGATTACATCCATCGAGCAATACTTTTTACGTATTCTTGCATTTTCCCGTTCAAATTAAGTTCGTAAAGCCTTTTTCGAGTTTTAAAATTTCTACTTTTAGAATAATTTCAATTTTTTTTATTTATTTATTTTTATTGAAAGTGTCCTTAATAAGTTTCTATGAATACTGCGTCTTAAATAAAGGTTTACTTGCTTTTATCCACTTAATCATGTTGCAGGTGTGAAGCGTTGCCCACCTAACTGCTACTGGGTTTACTATTATTGCTGTGTGTATAGTTCTTCTAGTGGCTGTCGAAAATGGGGACTTTGTCGGCGATTGCGATGTGTCATTACGATGTGCTAGAAAAAAGGTTACTAATAGCAGAGAGCTACTGAAAATGCCTGTGCTGTGATTACCGCACTAGATCGACTTTATAACTCGAAGTGATTTTAGAACACATGGTAGTACATTCAGTTGCTACATCTATGATTTTACACTAGTTGATAGAAATAAGGAGATGTTATTGTCAATATAAGCGTTAAATAAAAACAATCAGTTAGGTTTTGGAAGAAAGTAAGGCCAAAATAGATTTAAGGCTTTTTTTTATCATAAATCTCATGGCGGTTACTTGGCTTCAGTTTAATTGCATTACCTCAATGAGAAAGTTTAGTTAGTAAAGTTCGAAATTTTGAGGTGTCATTATGAATCTAGAATACTTAAACTCGCAGCTGGTGCAAATTAACAAATTAAACAGTAATAACAAAGCAAATAAAGTCAATTGAACTGTTAAGTCTGATGTGTGTGTTTTCACTTTTGTCCAAGGGGTTCAGAATGGAACTGCCAACCGCGGTTTTGTAGTTTGATTTTACAAATTAAAAAGTAGTTTGAACTGAGACGTAATTGTGATTTCAGCGCCTGTGTCACGTTGTAACTATCTCAATATGAGAGGAACCCATTGAAAACGGCAGGGTTTCTAGCAAAACGCTCACCGGCCGCGCGAACGTAAGAATAACGCTGCCGTGTAGTCAGTGATTAGCTTTTGGCTGAAACTGAGTGAATCAAGTTACTGAGTAAATAAGTGAATGCATAGAGAACACCGTTTCTGGTAGGAGTGCGGGTAAGATCGTTGTAAATAGGATACCAACCCTGATCACTTAACTTCCGTCTTTTGTCGTTTTGAATACGAAGTCGTTTCGACTGTCACTGACCGCTCGGACCTGAGTGATGAAATGGCTTCTCTGTGTGCCAAGCTGCCCATTTATCGCGTCAAAAAGACAACGCCGTTGACCATAAGCGTTAAGCGTGAGTGTTCCACTTTATTAGCTAGTGTAATGTTTAGAACAACAAAGTGTCATTCAATTAGTCATTGCTAAAAAAAACTAAAAATATTTTCGTTTTCAGTGGAGGTCAAGTTGGAAACTAATGTCTTGGAAATACAAATGGTAACTCGAGAAGAAATATTGGCCAAAAAAAACATCTTGAAACAACTGACAATTTCGCTCCCTTCTCTGGCACTTATTTCAGTCAGCAAAGAGAAGGAGGGTGACCGCTATATACCTTTTTGTTTTGTTGGGGGCACGACTTAAATCTTTGTAACCTTCAAACCACTCGTAGGCCGGCCATTAATGTTGTTGGATATAAGTCCCTCGGTCAGTCAATGAAAATCACCTTCAAATCGAAGAAATTTAGAGGAAATGCATTGGGTGGATTGGACATGCGTCAATACACGAGTTGTTAGTTAACAATTCTTGGTTGAGGAAGGTGTTATTCGGGCTATGTGGATAACAGCCGCTGAGATCTGCATAATTCTTCATATCATACGAAATCCGAATTCAATAACTGTTTTAATATTGATTCAAATATTTCCAAGTTCTTAACAACTTTACCTCCTCGTAGACTTTCTTTAAAATATTTACCTCTTCCTCAGCACAGTTTTAGAATCTGACCAGATGTTTTTCCTTGCAGATACTCCTCAAAAAGTAGATTACATCCATCGAGCAATACTTTTTACGTATTCTTGCATTTTCCCGTTCAATTTAAGTCGGCATTGCGGCTGTTTCGTCTTGGGATAGACATGAGCTCTTTCGCCATTTCTTGAGTTTACTCACGCCAAAACAGCTAGGCTACCGCGCCGCTGCCTGGGAATCAAGGTTGCGATTGTATATCGGTGGCATTATATATCAGCCAACATCGCTCGCTTCCTTTAAATTTTGTCAGCGCCAGTTGGTTATGAATAATTAACCTGGGGGTTTAAAAACAATCAGAAACGGCGAAATATTTCGAATGAATATTAAATTTATTGATGTTTGTGCCAGTTTGTTGTCTGACAGATTTAGGACAGCTCATTTCAAGCGCTCAAATTTACGCACTTGTTTAACCAGAGTAAATAGCTTGGAAAAGAACTTTTAAGCTAAAAACTTCGAGGATCGGGGAATTCTTGATATGTCTCGTGACTCATAGGAAAATCTCCTTCCTTTTCATTTAGACCTTGAAAAAAGGAAAACAATGTTCTTTTTGTTACGTATGACACTTGCAAATTTTGTTGCACGTGAATAACTTTTACTCCGTAAAGTCTTTTTGTGTTTTAAAATTTCTACTTTTAGACCAATTTCAATTTTATTTATTTATTTTTTTTTTATTGAAAGTGTCCTTAATAAGTTTCTATGAATACTGCTTCTTAAATAAAGGTTTACTTGCTTTTATCCACTTACTCATGTTGCAGGTGTGAAGCGTTGCGTCCCTTACTGCTACTGGTATTACTATTCTTGCTGTGTGTATCGTTCTTATCTTGGCTGTTTGATTTCTGAAACTTGCGCCCGACGGGTATGTTGTATTCTTCCCTGCTAGAAGAAAAATTACTGCTGGTGCAGAGCTACTGAAACCTGTGCTGTGATCATGACCGCACTAGATCGACTTTATAACCAATCGAAGTGATTCTAGAACACATGGTAGTACATTCAGTTGTAACACCTAAGAGTTTACACTAGTTGATAGAAATAAGGAGATGTTATTGTCAATTTAAGCGTTAAATAAAAACTATCAGTTAGGTTTCGGAAGAAAGTAAGGTCAAAATAGATTTAAAGCTTTTTTATCATAAATCTCATCTCGGTTACTTGGCTTCAGTTTAATTGCATTACGTCAATGAGAAAGGTTAGGTAGCAAATTGCGAAAATTTGAGGTGTCAGTATGAATCTAGAATACTTAAACTCGCAACTGGTACAAATTAACCAACATTAATAACAACAACAACAACAAAACAACAAACAACAAATTTTATTGAAAATTGGAAAATAACTAATTACATTACTTTCCCACCCGCAAATAGCTTATGAACTAATCGGGGCGGGGGGAGCTGAACACAATTTACAAAACAAGATTTATATATAGATGGACTAAATAACAGTGAAGACACTACAATACAGTAAATAGAATTTAAACTAACATAAAACAAGGCATGTACATAACGATTACGAAGAGAGGCTAACCTAAAGTATTAAATAACTTAATAAGACGGGAGACTTCGACATAATCATCTTCTGACCGCAAAAAATTTAGTAATAATTCCTTTATTTTTTTACGAAAGGACGAACGTTTAAGTATTTTAATCGAATACGGAATAGAGTTCCAAATTTGGGCACCGATTCTCGTGAAAAAGGCATACATTTTATCGGTTCTAGAGAACTTAACATAAAACGAGTCGCTAGAGACAGATCTTGTTCTGTAGTTATGAATCTGACTTGTTTTAACGAACTGATTGAGAATACTAACTGGTGCTATCTGTCTGTTGATATCATACAATAAATAGCTACAATCTCTGAAAAATATGCTAGACAGGGGAAGGCAATTTGATTTGAGAAAGAAGGGTACGGCGTGTTCCTTAGACTTACTGAAGTAAATGAGACGTAAGGCCCGTTTTTGTAGAGTTACGATCTTTCTTTGAAATGTCAAGGCACAATTTCCCCAACCACAAATACCATAAGTCAAGTAAGGGACAATTAATGAGTTGTAAACTGAAAGTAAAACACGACGCGGGACATAATGTCGAATTTTAGCTATAATTCCTATCGACTTGCTGATTTTGTGACAGATAGATTCGATGTGGTATTTCCATGAAAGATTTGAATCAATCATTAAGCCAAGATATTTTACATAATCTTTCATTTCAAGGTTTGCGTAGGTGTTAGTCACGGAGTCAAAAATTCTAATCCTAGGTATGAAGGGCATATTCTTTTGCCGGGGACGAAAGATTACAAAATTTGATTTTTTTATGTTCAAGGACAGTTTGTTGGCCTTTAGCCATTCGTTGACGTTGCCAAGCTCGCGATTAACAAGTGTTTCGAGTTCCTTTAGGTTGTTATTTGCAAGTATTATACTAGTATCGTCAGCAAATAGATAAAAGGCAAATAACGAAGAGGACTTGTAAATATCATTGATGTACAGTAGGAATAAGAGTGGTCCGAGGACTGAGCCTTGTGGCACGCCGCACAAGGTCGTTTCAGCCTCAG